GAATTGTGTGAGGATTCCTGGGGCGAGGAGAGGAGCTGGTCTGCGTCTGGGAAACTTAGGATTTTATGCATAGAAGATAATGTCATGCATTTTGACTTCCCCATATGGGGAGGAGAAGCTGCTGACATGCTGTCAGATGCTCGGAAAGTCATTTTCATAGGACAATGTCTGTACCGACCACCCAGTCACAATTCAGTGACTCTCACTGCCACTGACTTCCCCGGCTGGATGTTGGCGCTTCCATCCACTCAGCCGGCATCCAGGGAGGCTGTGATGAAGTGAGGACCATCTGTTAGAGACCGGATAGCAAGGACGTCCGCTGCACATGGAAGGTTGGCCCAAATGACCGACTCGAGCTTTGATGTCCTGCAGCTCCCCCCCTTCTCCCCCACCACTCCGTTTGGCTTCTGCTTGGGGGTAGTCGTCACTAATGGAGCTGTTGTTTTGTTTTTAAACTAAAACCACAACCCCTCAGGTCCAAGTTACTTACATTCATTATAGAATGTTTATTACAAAAAAAATTTAGGGAGAAAACAGCTGAGCAAAAGGAAGTACTTAGTGTCCTGAAGAGCCAGCATGATTAGCATTTTGGTTTGTGCCCTTCCAGACTCATGTGTTGCTCCTTTGCCCTACAGTGTGCAAGTCTACGTGCTGGACATGGACACTGGAGGTAGGTGGGTTTGGCTGGCAGTTCTTGGCCTCATCGCTTCCAACTGTGTGACCTTGAGCTATCTATAAAAGCAGGTGGTGCAGTAGAAGATACTCTTTAGAATTAGGAGTCTTAAAGAAAACAGATGCATTAAGCAGAGGACCCCACACACAGAGACTGCTCAATCCAAAGCTTATTCAAATCATATGTGTCTTATTATTCATAAGAGTAGGGGCTCCCTCCAGAGCCTTGGCGTAACAATAGATAACTGAATGAAAGTGTCTGCACACTGCCCGGCCATTGGAAATTCTGTTGCTACCAAAGAGAACACACTCTGATGTCACTCTGGTACTCGTTTCGTGGTAAACACCAGTATTTTCGCTGCATGATAATTGGGTATGAGTGGCAAACAGTTCTTACCAGGGATTATAATTCATTTTGTTGCATATATATATATATATATATATATATTCTGTTAAACATATATATATATGTTTTATTGCATATATTAATATATTCTGTTAAGTCACAACTTCTCTCTTTCTCTGCTTGTAAGGTTCTCTGGTGTCAGTAAAGAGTGTCAGTGGTCGCCCTGTGGGCACGTTTCTCGTGAACAGGAATGATGGCGTCTTCTTTGTCCCTGTCTTTCTTTCATTCTGTTGCTGTGATAAAATGCCCTGGAAATGCCTATGAAAAAAATGCCTATGAAAAACCACATAGATTTGAAAGGGTTAATCTTCGCTCACTATTCCAGGGTTCAGTTTTAAGGAAGTCATGGCAGCAGGAACTTGAAGCAGCTGGTCACATCCCATCTGTAGTTTCGGAGCAGAGAGAGATTGAGTGCATGCCTGTTGTCTGCCTACTTTCTGCTCTCTCATGCAATCAAGGGCTTAAGCCCAGGGGATGGGGCCACTGACCGGGGGCCGGTCGTCCCATCTCCATTATGACTAGACATGCTCATACAACCTGAGCTAGACAGTCCTTCTTGGAAACTCTTCCCAGGTGACTCTACATTGTGTAAGTAGACAGTTAAAACTAGCCATGGCGGTACTTGATCCTCTGGCATACTGGAGCTCAAGATGACCCTGGGTCGCTGCCCATGTGTGGAGTTCCTCACTCACAAGTCTTCACCTGCCACATATACTCTAAAGATAGTGTCTTCCTCTCACTGGGTCTCTTTTCCTAGTTGGTCCTCATGCTTACCTTCATCGGCCCAAGAGACTCCAGCCCCACTGCACTCAATGGGTTCCATCCATCTGTCATCTTCTCGTAGCATCCACTCGCCAGGGCTCCTGTTTCTGTGTTCATGGAGACTTAACCTAGCTTCTCACCCAAGGGTGGCTGAGCCATGCTACAAAAGTGAAGCAAGTGGGTCCAGGCCATTGTGGTCGGGTTCAAGGATAAGAGAAGGAGGCAGAGGCACCCTCACAGTCTGGATATCTGGCTTGGCGGCCCCTCCCACCTATGCTTCCTGAGTGGGGTCCTGATTATGAGTTTAGGAGCACAGAGAAGGTGTCTCCAAGAACCACAGCCAGAAACCCCACTTACCCTGCCTTCGAGTGGATATGGTGTTCAACATTTTAGGATCAAATTCCCTCAGTGGTAACTAATGTTGGTTCCCTCCCCTGTTGGTTCCCCGGAGATGGGAAACTGGATGGGGCACCACCACCAAGGGCTTGAGTTTGAATAGACCCAAGCAGGTCACCTTTGGCTATCCTGGGTCAGAATATCAGACATTAAACAAGTCACAGAGAGTGAGTCCCAGCGTTGTCGTTATTTGCATCTTTCTTTGATGGGACAGGTGGAGTTGGTCACAGGACTGGAAGGGCAGGTGTGTTGCAGCATGACCAGGTGGCACGTCTTTGTATGTGCCTTGCACCTGGGTATCCGGAGGCCTGCGACACTGTGGTGTGGTGTAGAGTGGTGGTGTGAGAAGGGTAAGGGATCAGTAGCCCCTGTCGTCCTTAGACTGACTTGTCAAATCTCAGTTGTCTTATTCCTGTCTCATGAGTGGCATCCCTTCCCTAACCTTACCCTAGAAAGAAACTTACCTAGAAGACTCTTGCCCTAGAAGGGCTGGAAAGAGTGTGAGGCCACAGGTTTGTCCTTATGGCTGCAACAAGCCTCTAGACCCTGGTGCCTTGCCTTCCAGGAGTGTGCACATGTACCTGGGCAAAACGGCCATTTAATTCCAAACCTGGCGCTCTCCCTTGGTGGAGGCCAGGCTGAGCCAGGACGGAAGAGAAGGCACCCCCTAGTCTGTATAATACTCCGAACACCCCTGTGCATCTCCCTCTTCCCACTCCGCCCCACTTTCTCCCCTCAGCACGCTCAGCCTTTAATTGTAACTATTAATCACAGCGAGTTGTGTCGTACTTCATAACCCTTTCATTAAATGTTAAACGTTAAAAATCGAGCTTTCTTAATTGAATTATTGAATCGCCAGGCACTTAATGTGGCTCTGGTGAACGGGAACCAGAGACTTTCAACCTTGAAGGGGGCTTAGTTTTCTCGTCTGGGACATGGAGGGTTTGCGAGGCCCCGAGGAGCCACAGCTTGTTGATGGTCCCTCGATGGGTCTAGAGCTGGTGTTTCCTGGTGTGTCTGACCTCAGATTTGTGCTTAGTACATTTTCCCCACCCTTGTCCCCTTCTCCAGAGACAGTTATTGTTGGAGCCCCTTCATTCTCAGCTAACCTAGCCCCTCTAGTTTCTGCCTGCAGCCAAGTCTTCAACCCCTATCACATGCTCCAAACTGCTGGGTATTTACTGTTTAAACAGTACAGACTCGCCTCCCTTCCACTCTCCTCAGATGGGCCCCATTGCCTACCGTCTGGCCTCCCGCCCCACATTCCTGCCTGCAAGAACTTTGCTGTTCCTGACAGCTCTTTCTGATTCATTTCTGGAACCTGATTTTTATCTTCTGAGCACCTCCGGTGTTCACCTCTCCACATTCCTGCCTGCTGACCCCATCCTGACCCCTGCCTTCCAGCGTTGTCCCCAGCCCAGCCATGCTCTCCCCTGCTACAACACAGCTTCCTCAAGCTCCCACAGCCCCAGATGGGCCTCTGTTCCCTAATCCTGACATGACAAATCTGCAGTCCCCTTGACTCAGCACAGGTTGATGGTCCTTTTTTTTTTTTTTTTATACGACAGGCACCCATGTTGGTGCCTGCCAAAAGCCTTTCTTTAGGAAAAGGGTTTGAGACCCATGGTCGAACTGAGCAGAAAGGTATGCTGGGCATGTTACATGATCTAAGGTTGCATGGTGAGTTGGTGGTATTCTGTCTGAAATGGAGCCCCACACCCAATTCATGGCCCTTTGGAACTTCAGAATGCAACTTTGGAAATAGGGCCTTTGCAGATATAGTTAGTGAGGTTGTGTCAGGCTGGGGCAAGGCCTGTCGTCGAGACTGGTAACTCAATCAGAGGATGAAAATTGGACTGAGAGGTCCTCCACGGGCAGAAATGCTCTGTGAAAACATTGTGGCATGTGCTCCCAAGCGATGGAGCACCGCGGAGGGCTGACCACCACTAGGAGGTAGGAAAGAGGCATGGTGAAGGTTCTGCTGGAGCCTACCTTTCAAACACGTTGTTTTCTGACACTTAACTTCTAGAAAAGTGAGACAGGCTTCTAGTGTTTGAAGGTACCAGGGACTGTGCTTTCTCAAGGCAGCATGAGGAAACCAGTATAGTTGGGGACAGTTTTGAAAACAGGGCATCAGGTTCTGAGGTCAGAGATCTTCCCACTGTATGGATAGATAGTGTCCCATCTCTCCCTGGTTTCATGGACTTCACCAACATGAGTTTCCCTTGCTCCCACCCGAGCGTCTTTGCAAGGGTCGCAAGCATCCATATGTGCAGTTGATGGTTCAGCAAAGCACCTACCTCTTCTTCATTCAGCCTGCTCTGTTGCTCACTTGTGTCACAGTGCTAAGCCCCTCCCTATCTCCTTCCCCAACAAGTTGTTTTTGTGGTATCTTTTTTAATGCAGATTTTATTTTGTGTGGCACAAAATAAGGTTGAAAATAGAGTTTTTGCAGAGGTAAATAGTCAATATGTGGTGGACAGAATTGGAAGAGACCCTAGTTTTTTTTTAAAAATATATATATATATATATATATATATATATATATATATTTGCTCATATCCATGAGATGACTCAGGGTAAAGGTACCTGCTACCAAGCCTGACGATCTAAGTTCAATCCCCTGGACTGGACCTATGTGGTTGAAGGAAAGAACTCACTCCCAAAAGTTGTCCACTGACCTCCACATGAGTCATGGCGGGTGCTCAGGTGTACACTCACTCATGCAGAAAATAAATACAAATAATTTTTATTAGATTCTTATTTAATGCTTGTATGTGATGGGTGGACAGGAAGTCAGAAGCTTTGCGAAGTTCTGGAACCCAGTCATTTTCAGCAGAGGGAGTGGTAGTGAAAGCCCCATGACAGGATGGAACTTGCTGGAAGAAGAAGCAGAAGCAAGACAGATGTGATGAGAACTGGGGTGGGGGAGGGTCGCAGGTAGGTCAGATAGAGCCTTGGGAGCAATGCTAAGAGCCATAGGAAGCCTCTGGAAGGCTCTCAGCAAACAGAGGACAAAGACTGTTTTTAAAGGTCACCCATTCTGAGTTCTCCAAGGATTGAGTTGGGGAGACTCAGGGCCACTAGAGGCAACCTGGCTTGATGCCCAACCAATCCTTACGTTGTGTATCTCTGATCCACTCTCGTCCTCCCTTGAGCCCCCTTTGCACTTAAAGTCAATATAGCATGTTTGCCACTTAATTGGGAAATCGTTTCTGCTTGTCTGTAGCCTTACCAGCCAAGGATGCTGGGGACAACTCTGTTTCAAAGGAGGCTCCTTGGGGTGTCTGTCGACCCTCCATCAGGGGTCCATTGCTCTTCAGGTGGGACTGAGTGATGGGGTTATGTTCCGTGTGCAGCTGTCGAGGTGGGGGGTGGGGTAGGAGGGCGCTCACCCTTCCTTGAAAATTCTTTGTGTCTGGAAAGTTTTGTATTTGAACGTCCTTGAGGAGACACAGAAGGACAGTTATTAGCTTCCCTCAGCACATGGGAGACTGGACCTCTGAGAGGCTATGGGCCTTGAGTAAGAATGGAGCCCTGGTCTTATGGGGCAGTGAACCCTGCAGTTACTCCCTGTACTGCCGTGCTAGTGGGGTAGCTCTTGGGGTAAATGTGTGCCTGGGGGCATGGGGAACACAGTGATGAAACTGTTACAGGTAGGGAAGATTTGTAATGCATTCTGGAAGCAGGCAGACTTCTGTGCACTGGGGAGGTGAAGAGCTTTGGAAGGGGATAAACATGGCGTCTAGGTGGTCTGGGAGAAGGAACTGGCCCTCGCTGAGGCTTGGTGTGCTGACCCATGAGATGGGAAGGATCATAAAGGCACGCCCTTCCTGGGCCACAGCGGAGGAGTGAATGAGCAGATTCATGAAAGGGATCCAGGCAAGGGCTTGGCACAGGATGTCCACTCAGTAAATATTTGCCGTCATGACGAGCACTGGGAGCAGATGATATAAGAAGGCAGAATGCCTGTTCGTAAATTTCTGGGAAAACTGGTGTACTTGTGTTCTGGGTATTGGGTTCTCTGTGGAGTGTGGAGCAAAACCAAACAAAAAGCCTGATACTCAGCTGGTAAATGATGGGAGAGAACTCCAACGTACATCTTGTTCTGCGAGGAAGGACCTAGGCAGGCATGGGCAATAAAGTCTGGGAGATTTGTTCCAGAAAGAGGATCATGAATAGTGACAGCCTATGCTAACTAGGACTGGAACAGAGAACCTTCCAGAGCATGCCAAGGTGGAAAGTTGAAGTCCAACCTTAGAAGTAAGACTGTGGGTTTCTGTAGACATTCCAGTAAAGCCACACCTCTATGACAAGTGTGAGTCATAAAAGTTGGGCCAGCGGGTGGCTTTCATGGTAGGTGCACCTGCCACTAGCCTCGAATACTGACTCCTACAAGTTGTCCCTCAGCCTCCGTGTGCGTGCTGTGGCACATGTGTGCTCATACACTTGTATATGTGCACACACAGAATAAAGCACTGTAAACTTGAAAACTCCTCATTTGAGTTTTAGACCTGGAAGGGTGAACATCGAGCCCTCCCCAGAAGTTAGACAGGACTATCATGCCACAGAGATATGCCCAGGTTTAGAAGGAAGACTTCCCCTTCCCCTTCTCTGGGGGGTGGGGAGGGAAGGGAGGGAGATCCAGCCACCTGTTTCTCCCCAGCTGTGAGGCATTGGACACCGAACTCTACGATTTCAGAGGCACTGGATGTGCATGTATTGCTGATGAGTCTCCAAAGTGGAATGGGAGACTTGTGTGGCAGGCGAAATGTCCCCTGAGCCTCAGGAGAGTATCGCCTATCTCTGCACAGGGGTGGGGTTTGCCATTTCTTAGGCGTGCCTTTGCCAGTTACACTTTGGGGCAGTAGCCCAACTTTCAGACTTATGTTATTTCCCATCCTAACTTATTTCCTCGTCAGTTTTTAAAAATCCTATTGTGAGTATTTTTGTAAGATACTCCAGCCCCTTTTGGAATAAAGTGAGGCAAAAATAAATAAATGAAGGTGCTTGGCTTTTCTCGCAAGTTCCCCTCCCAGAGGATCCCGGGAGCCAGGCCTCTTTGATGCCAGTAGACTGAAACTTACATTCCAGCTCTGGGAGGGGCTGACAGGAGACTGCTCTTCCTGGGGATCATAGCACTGCGGCAGGGTGGCCTGGGCATTGAGTTGGGAGCATATACATGCATGAAGGCCTGGGGAGAGAAAGAAAAGCTGTTTTTCATGGGTAGGCACGTAGTTGCTTCCCTTTTTCACAGAAGCCCTTCCTCAAAGCTCCGTTCTTGGCCCTTTCTTCCACATGGGACAAGGATGCATTTTCCTGGCCTGAGGTATGAGGAAAGAAAAGAGGAGGGCTTTGTGTTCCACATTATATGTGGATCAAACAATTCCCAATGGGTCCCAACCAAAAAGAAGTTACATCCTGTTTCTAGAAGCCCACAGTAAAGCATTTCCGCCTTGTTCGGTAAACAAATGCTTGTTTGTTTTTATAGTGCTGGGATTGAACCTAGGCCTTTGTGTACGCTAGGCCAGTGATCTACCACTGAACTGCAACCCTTTTCCAGTCTGTTTTTTGAGATAGGGTCTCCCAAGTTGCCAAGGCTGTCTTTGAACCGGCTCTGTGGTCCCTGCCTCGGTCTCTTGGGTAGCTGGACTTAGGAATCTGTATCACTAGGCCTGGCTCAATAAGTGTTCATTCGGTGTTCTGTCCTGTGGAAGGGAAGGTCTGGCCTTCCCAAGGCCTAATCAGTAGGGAAACCGACAGACCAACGTCACACAGATATGAATCCACTTGTAATTACAGACTGCTCTCGGTGCCATGGAAGGAAAACAGTGTGTGCTCTATGTGCAGGGCCTCCCTGAGGGGGTATGCTTGCCCCCTCTCTGCGCTCTCTACTTTCCATACCCTAGTCATGGGTTAGAAGCAGTCCCCTGTCCCCTGGCTCGGGCAACCTCACAGTGTCAGGACAAGGAAAGGAAGATGGTGAGGGCAGCACATTTTCAGTTCCCCACTGGGCCACCTGTCCCAAACGGCAGGGGTCCCACAGGCAGCCCTCTTGGGATTCAGTAACGGGTGCCATTTCTCAGAAGGAGCTGGCCACAAAGATAAGACCACAATGACAAGGGGGCCATAAATTGTTACCTGTGCCCTTGGGGTACCCCCTCTTCCTCTATTCCTCCCCCCACCCCCTTCTCAAGCTGTGGGGTTGGATTTAGCAACAGGCTTTTGGTTCCTGGGATGGAGAGAAAGCTGCCTTTCTGATGGCCGGGCATAATCGCTGAGATGCAGAGTGCTGATAGCAGGAATCAATTTAATTTCTGTTGCTCGGTGACAAGGAGGGGGAGGGGCAGGAAGGTCAGGGCTATTTTGAAAGCACTGTTCAGTTAAGGAAACAAAATATTCCATCTAAGGAATTTTCAAAAATACAATCTTTCCTGGGTAGAAAAGGTGGATGTGGGTTGGAGTGCGGGCTTTGCTTAGAAGATCAGGGGATAGTATGGAAAGATCCCATGTTGCCAGGAACCCAGAGCCCCAAGTACAAAGCTCACCGGTCAAGATGGAATTCCATTGTGTCCCTCTGTCCTTGAGTCCTCAGAGTCTCGGGGAAGATGAGGAAGGTACCTGAGCTCTGTCAGGTGCCTGAGGCGTGTGGAGGTGCAGTTGGTGCTGGGGTGTCTGGACTGCTGGCAGCTGTGGTTTGTGGGATCTTTCAGGGGGCCAAGTGGGGATTGGTGGACGTGCGTGAAGATCAGGCTTCCCTGGGACTGACATTTCTTAGTCACGCCGTGGCATTGCGTGACTGTAGGGGCACTGTGGGGGCACCGCAGAAGCACCTTTTAGCCTGACAGTAGAAACTGAATTGGGGTGGGGGCAGGGGGGTCAAAGGATGTGAACTGGAGCTGGACCAATCCTAGTCTTATCTGTAAGTAACATCCCTTATCAAGCACAAGATGGATGTTGAAGATTTTCTATCAGTCGCAGGAGAGTTTTGGCGTGAAGGGTCGTTTCCTAAGTTAGCAAGTCCACCTGTGATAGCCCCAAGTCAGTGTGTAAGAACCAGAGAAAGGGAGTTGAGACGAAGAATTGGAGTCTCATAACTGAGTGCATAACGGGTCCCTAGCATGTAAATGCTGCTTACAAGTTACTGGGGGAGGAAGGAAGTGTGTGTGTGTGCCTATCTCTAGCAGTCTGGAAGTGCTTTGTAATATTGTGCCTGTGAGATCTGCGTTGTGGGTGTGGGGTTTCCTCGCTGGGGCTTTGTGGACAGGGTGAGTGATCCCATCTTTACCATTGGACCGCTTCAGAGTCGGGGTTGCTTCAACCTCAAGTCGCCACTGACCATTTTTGACTTGGAAGTCAGGATGGTTATTTCGAAGTGTGGCTAACAGGATGGGGAGGCAGGACACATTCAGACAGAAGCCGGAGAGGTGGTCATAGGCATCCATGTGCAAACAAAGGCTGAAGGAACAAAGAGTCAGCCCTCTAGGCCCAGCTGCTGGTGCTTGTTTGGGATAGGAAGCCATGAGCCTAGCCCCACCCCCTTATTTAATAAATGTTTTGAGACGGGGTCTCATGTAGCCTCTCGTCTAGTCTACAACTTACTGTGTATTTGAGAATGACCGTTAATGGACCTTCCTGTCTCTACCTCCCAAATGCTTTACATTTATTTACCTCCCCAATGGATTTCAGGTGTCAGTCTCAGACTTCATTTCTTCTTAAACCATGTGCTGTTTACCATTTTGTGACTAAAGACTTCTTTGGCCCCTGTATCTCTGAATGCCACCTCAGTCAGGCATTCCTCATCAGATACACCCACCCTGGGCTTGGGCTATGTGCACATGCACACAGGTGTGCACTTAGTCTGGCTGAATCTGGCTAGGTTTTTTGTCTAGCATGTAGCTCAAAGAAATTAGAAGTAGGTGGGGGGCCCGCACCACTGCCAAAGAGCAGAGGCCTTTGCTTTGGAGCTAGTCTTCTGAAAAGTGAACGGGTCTGTTTATTATTTGGCATAATTCTCCAGGTCTTAAATGAGTGGCCATCTGTGCACATACTGGAAACTGAGGCAGAGCTGATGCGTGCTCACTGCTGTGCCCTGTGGCTGGCTCCTAGCCACCTGTATGTAGTCCTGAGTGAGGAGGGTGGATTTCTGGATTTGCCCTGGGTTTCTTGTTCTCCAGGAGAGCCTAGCTACACTGCTGTGCCTGCTGGGATAGTGGGTGGAATACCACAGGGACAGCGTAGGGACCACACTTGAACCATTTCTTCTTACCCCAAGGAAACAGAAGCCCAAAGAGACAGAAAACCAGAACTGGTCTCTGGTCTTTTTTCCTGAGGATAAGGGCTCTGGCATCTCTTTCCTGTCAACACTGCCCCCTGCTGCTGCCCTGGAACAGCGGGCACCTGGCCACACTGGAGATAATGTTTTCAGGCAGAGCAGCCTTTTGTAGGAGGCAGTGACGCTGGTAACCCACGACTGTGAGGACAGAGCCTTTATGTTTTGTTTCCATTGACGGGGATAGGTTTTCAGAACCACCCACTCCCTTGCCTGGGCTGGTGACTCACAGGGACAAGATGGCTGAGCAAAGAGAAGGAGGGAGCATACTTCCCCCGAGGCCCATTTTAGTGCTAATTTTGACCCTAAGGATCCAAAGTCGCAATGGTCCGAGTCTGAATGTCCCTAACTTGCCTCTCCTGGACCCAGTCGGATATGCGGGATCCAGAGCCCAGTGCTGCTGTGCAGCCCCTCACTGCCTTGCAGCCTGAGCTGAGCCTGCTGGTTTGGCCTACAGGGATGAAGCAGGGGATTTTTTACAGCAGCGTGAAAGTGTCAGTGTAGAGAGACTTCTGCAGGGACTAGAGCAGCATTTCAGTCTCAGCTGTAGGGCTTTACAGCTTTATGCACCTCTGACTTCTTGGAACCGAGGAGGAGACCAGGGGAGAACAAGCCCTTCTTTGATAGGCTTTCTTTTTCCCTTTTCTCTCAGCCTTCCTACCTCCCTGCCATTGTTGTGGTTAATCGGGGCCTTAGGAGTATCTAGCCCATGGCCTGTCACACAATGGATTATGCAGGCAGCCGGAATAGTCACTATGTTTATCAATATCTTTTAGGCAAATAAAATCCACGCAGAGTTTTCTTTGATGATAATTTAACTGTGATCACTTCATGAGGAGGAAGATGCTAGTGTGGAGGGATCCAGGACCTGCACCCCCTCTTCCTCCAACACATTCATTCCCTTGTCGAAGCCTTTGAGCAGGAAAGTTGGGCACCCCATCATATTGTGGTCTGGTACATCAATATAGCCAATTCTGATAAAGCCTTGAAGGGTGTTGACCTTCTTGGTTTTCCTTAAGGAGGAATCGGCATGAAATTTAAAAGCTTGAAGGGAAGTTGCTTTCCTTAAGAAACAGGGAGCTTGTCGGCTTCCAGAGGTTCTCGCAGCCTGACTCGGCAGCCATCTCCCTCCCCTGCCCCCCAGAAGGGATGGATGGATGTTTTGTTCGGGGTATTTCTTTTCCTGGGAAACATCTACAGCCCCGCACTCTATTGTTCAAGGTGAGTGGGCGAAGATTGAGAAGGGCTGTTGAAAAGACCCTGGAGAGGCCCCCGGGGTGGGGTGGAAATGAGGAAGCCGCTGGCCTGTGGCCACACAGCCCTTCCTTGCTTCCTGACAGGTGTATAGAGTGGCATCTCCTGCTGGCATTCGTAGAGCCCTAGGTATCTTTGGCAGACCCGGCTGGAAATCCGATGCTATGAGACAGGAAGGCCCGAGAATGCTTATAAGAAACTGCCCTCATCCAACCCAAGGGTTGGGGAAAGACGCTCTGGGGTGGCTTGTACTCTTCGGAGCCGACCTCAAAGGGGTTAGGAGTTACTTCCCACCTCGCTAAGTCTTAGCCAGCCTTGGAGGAAATGGGAAACACGGAGGTTCAGGACATAGCAACTAGCTCCCGTCTGACTTGGGGTACTTTGGAGACCACTTCTCATTAGATAGCTCATCAAAGTTCATCTCCAAGGTCTGAGGGGGAGTGGGTCAGAAGGGGCTTTTGTCTTCTGGTCACTTGTTTCTGGCCTCAGCTGTAGGTGAGGAGCTGGGCCCTTACAGAGCCCCTTGAGAGTTTCAGAGTCCTTGCTTCTCCTGGCTCCATTCTCTCTCCACCCACTCCCTGGTTCGGCAGAGGCTTGCAGAGCTCCATAGGGGCCTTGTGTTCTGGGGCAGCAGCTGCTGGTGCTGACTAATGAGACTTCCTGGCGGCTGCAGTGGCACACGTGGCTGCAGCCGGAACTGCTGCTTCTCATCTGCCACCCTGTGCTCCAGCCACTCAGGAGGGTTGGGGCTGCTGCTGCTGCTGCTGCTGGGTCCTGGTCAGAGGCTTCTCTGAAGGAAAGCCTAGGATGCTTCAACTTCAGGCTCCTAAACACCTCTGTGCTGCAGCAGGTGTCCAGCGCGTGGGAAGGGACCTAACGTCAATGGCGAAGTAGGGCCATCGGAACTAGCCTGGCTCTCTGTCTGCCTCACGTGCTACAGCTTGCGGCTTACTGGGGCTGCAGGCTTGACACAATCACTCCTGTAGCTATGTGTCTTGGCAAAATGTGCCCCCTCTGTGAACTCCACTTTTTCTCAGAGGCAATGGTACAAGTATCATTCCTAACACACAGGCTTGTGGAGGGGGCCTGATGAGAGCCCAGAGTGACATGGCTGGCCCAGGGGCAAAAGCCAGTTTGCTTCTTCCCTGGTGAAGAACTGGGTTGATGCCTTTCTCTCCGTCAAATCGATAGATGTTTGTTTGTAGCGGGTCTTTTGATGGCTACGGCAGGAGTTGTGGAAGTTGTCCGCTGAGTCTGGGTGGGAGGTGGGGGCACAGGACAGATGGGACAAAACAAAGACAGATGGAAGAACCTGGGGGTGTGCTGATTTTGCTCCCTCTCCCCCTCTGCAATCCCCTTCCCCCCATGTTTTCAAGTCTGAGACAAGACCTCTGGAACCCTTTATGAATGAGCATTGTTGAATCCTCAGTAACCCCAGAGAATTCCTGACACAAGGGCAGGCCCCCTTCACCCGACAGTCCCAGCTAATGTTCCTATGACATCCCGACGGAACCATCCGCAGCTTGAGGAGGCAGACTTTGTCACCTGCTCCGGCTTTGAGGAGGTGCCCAGAAGCCCTCGATCCAGAGCTGTGGGATGGCCAGACCTTCTGAGAGGCTGCTCCCTTGGTTCTTGTAGGGCAGCTTTGTCCCGAGAAGAGCAGGAAACAAGGTTCTGGGTACCTTCCGAAGGTTTGGCTGCTTTCTGGAGGCCACATCTGGGTCGCCTGATAGCGAGTATGCTGTGGCAGGAGTGAGGGCCTTGCAAGGCACCCAGGAGGAAAGGAAAGCTCAGCAGGGGCTGCCTCTCCACGACTGTAATTAAACCCCTCAGTTCTCGCTCATTTCCAGGCTTCAGCTTTTCAGGGGTTCAGATGACAAGACCCCATCAGTACTGGAAACAGGAGGACCCGTCTCAGTTCACTTCATCCGCAGGGCATGAAGCCCCTCCCTTCACCCTAGTGCTGAATCTTCAAGACAAAGGGAGCTGGGGGTTCTTGGTTCAGCAGCCTGTGTCTGGGCCTGTTCATGGCGATCCATCCCATGGTGGCTGTTTTCTCCAGGATGCAGTGTCCCGGAGAGGTTTATCAGCTAAACCTGCCTGGCTCCAGAGAGGCCGCCGCAGACTTCCTGATAAACACCCCCGGTCACAAATGCCTTTGTGTAAATTTTTGGAGAAGATCCCCAAAAGCCTGCTTCAGGCCACCAGACCACGTGTGCGTCTGGAGATGAGCAGGGTGAGGAAGATGTTTGCTCCTGAAATGAGACATTTTGTTGAATACCTCGGAGCCTTTCATGTAACATTGAAGTCAGGTACTGAGCTGCCAGATGCCAGGGGTTTTGAAGTTGAAAGTTGACTCTGCCCCCTGTAGTGACAAAGCTCTGTCAGCCTGTATTCCACTTCCCCGGGATCTGGGTCTGTTGACAGCTGTGCTTTCTCAGCACCTTTGGGTCTGTTTTTGTTTTGTTGTTGCTGTTTGCATGTGTTTGGGTAGTTAGGGGAGGGATGGGTTACTGACAGGGCAAGGGGGCATTTAACCATTTATTCTTTTTAGTAGGTTTAATTGTATGAAGATTATAATGCATACAAGTGCCTGTAATTAGGGGAGTTGGTTCTGCAAGACAGTGTTTTCGTGAAGAAAATTACAGTGTTCATAAGCCGTTTAAGGAGGAGGCAGCATATATTAACATGCAACTAGTTTTTGTTAATTCGAGCC